CTATAAACTAGTTCGCGCGCAAGTCGCCGTGCCGGCTGCACCTAACCGTGTAGCAAACGATGGACAGCGTGGAAATCGACGGTCGAACTGTCGCGTTTGTGTGTACCCCTCAAATGAGCCACGTGTTAGATGCGCTGGACCAGCGCGGTGGCCTATCGAATCCTAACAGGTGCTAACGAATTTGAGCATCATAACAAATGCCAACATCAAAGGAAAAGGAGGCGTTCACCGGGAGAGGTGTATTGGAGGTCTGACGTTTCGAGTAGTTGTTTCTTCTACCCATCTTCAGAGACTGAGAAGTCATGCACACAGCTTTCCATATATGGCGCACTTTGTTTGATGCCTGGCCCGCAAATGCAGCTTGTGTGGCTGCATCCGACCCGACTCAATAATCCGCCGGCAAGTGATGCGACCAAAAGACCCGATCCCCAAGCAGGAGATGTCGGCCGTTGTCTACCGGCTTCAGTGCAGCTGCGTGAAGTTCATCTACGTTGGGGAAACCGGCACACGGCTGCAAATGCGAATGCACGAGCATAAGTTGGCCATTCGAAGGCTGGACCCAAAGTCGGAGGTAGCAAATCATGCCGCGCAAATGGGACACATCTTCAACTTTGAGACTGTTGGAATTGTGGGTCAGGACAATGATTATACGGCAAGGTGGGTGCAGGAAACCTGGATGTCGACCGACTGTTCTATCAACCGCCACATAAATTTGCCTCTCCCCTATCTGGTTTTACGGATATACTTGACGGGGGACAGTCACGGCGCGGGAAAATCGGGGCCGTCAGTTATCGCCGCGGCCGACGAAGATGGGCGGTATTCAGGTCACGGTGACATGCGGGTAGGATGCAGCCACACAGGCGGCATTGGTGGGCCAGGCACCAAACAAAATGCTCCATATAAGGAAAGCTGTGTGCATGAATTCTCAATCTCTGAAGATGGGTAGAAGAAGCGACTACTCGCAACGTCAGACCTTCAATACACCTCTCCCAATGAACGCCTCCTTTTCCTTTGATATGCCACCTGGGAATCGCACTTTCACTACTATTGAAATGCCAACATTTCGGAGTGCGATGGCAGACCCCGGTTGCCGACTGGGATCCCTGCCCCCACCCACTGTTGTTGTTGGTAAAAAATCTCGTCATTGGCTGTGTAGACCAGGAGGTGAGGAGTGGAACGCCAAGGTGCGGGCTCTACCGTGCCATCCACCTGTGCCCTCCTCCGCTCCCGGTCTTCTTGACTCTGTCTTGACACCGGATCCAGGTGGGGTGGGGGAGAGAGGGTGCAGTAGATTCTGTCCAAGTCTTATATCACTATAATCCAATTCACGCGCAAGTCACCGGGCCTGCTGCACCTTACTGTGTAGCATACCGTGGACATTGTCGGAATCGATGGTCGAACTGCTGATGGCACTTTTGTGCTAGTTTTCATCATGTGAATTTTCAGCATATGTTAACTCGAGTAAGGAACCTGGCTAAGTTTCTTTTTTAACTTTTAAATCATACTTCCTGGCGACGACTGCAGGTACACCATCGGTTACCCAGACAGACTTCCATTGCAATCTTATTAGCATACCTAGCATCTAGCAGGTAGAATCGAACTTAATGAAGAAATTACCAGATGAGAAGACTGGATGCCCCCATTCGTTTCAGCCCATCTGTTAAATGTTTAAGTGGGTGTGGCCGTCTCGTAGAGCACATCATCGTAGCGCCAGAGATGAGAGCTGGTTATCAGAACAGGACGGCGTAGAGCTACCAACCAGGCTCTCGTATGCGTTTGCAAGGATTGATCAGACCTAGAGTAACCGTTCGGTCACAACGGAAGTCTACGCTCATGACACCCCGCACACTTCAACTGCGATCTAATGAGTATTCCGCAGGTATAAATCGTAAGTGGTGTTAAAGCGAAACGCCGATCATCAAGGGGCCGATTATGGGCTGCGTCAAGTTTTATAGCCTATTTGCATTGACAAGAGTGATGCAATATGAATAACTCTAAACAGGGTGGACTCAGAAGTACACCACAAAACCTCTGACACGCTTGTGTACAAAACACTTGTCCAATCAGGAACCATGTTTCCAAGTCATCTATGGGTAATCGAGGCCATAAGCTCAATTGACATGGCACTGGAATAGAAACCTCCTCCCCTGTACTGTAGAGAGCTTCGCGCTGTCGCTGTTTTGTCCCAGGATGGGTACCTAATACGGTGTCCTAACCCTGGTTCCAACACTAGCCCTCGTCCAAATCTCAACCCTAAACCTGACCCCTATCTTAATCTCGCTGGAAGTTAGTGCAAGGCCACTTGTATTACGCGGATTCTTATTTCTGTGTCTCACCACTCAATTATTCTTACTGTGTCATGTGTAGAAGAGGCGAGACTTCTCTTTCTTCTATGTCAGGGCATCTGAGCACCAACTGTGCCTGTTGAAACTGTCAGTATCTTCGGAAGCAATGGAACATTTGACCTCTGCTCAGCGATACCCATCCATGCCTACAACGTAGGACAATCA